TCTTTTCATTGCATTACTTAAAATAGTAAAAAATGGAAACAAGCTAAATACTAAGATAAGAGTAATTAAGTAAATTATAGTAAACTGGCTGATAGAACTTTTTATAGCAATTGAAAATGATGAAAGATTGTATATAAAAAACAAGAAACATGATTGTCATGATTTTTATTTAAATAATATTTACTATAAACTTTATGTTCTGCTAAGAAAATATGGAAAATAAAGGACAATACAAAAAAGAAAAAAATTATAATATTTGGGGAGAAAAGCAGACTACTCAATTGTATCTGAGGTATGACTATAATTTTTGTTAAAGAACAGAGCAAGAAAACTTGTAAGTTGTTTTACTGGGTTTTACTCTTTTCTTTATCGGATTATATGTAGCATAATTTGTAATTTATTATTATTTATATTATTTATAATTTACAAATAATATAGCATAATTTGTTATATGTTTATATTTAAAACTCAGAAACCCTCATTTGGAGCATTCTTCCATTCTTGCTGCCCAGATGAACAGGTAAGGAGTGCAAATTAAAAGACTGGCTGGGCATGGTGGCTCACGCCTGTAATCCCAGCACTTTGGGAGGCCGAGGAAGGGGATCACGAGGTCAGGAGTTCGAGACCAGCCTGGCCAACATGGTGAAATCCCATCTCTACTAAAAGTACAAAAATTATCTGGTACTGTATTCCCAGCTACTCGGAGGCTGAGGCAGGAGAATCACTTGAACCCTGTAGGCGGAGGTTGCAGGGAGCAGAGATCACATTACTGCACTCCAATCTGAGCAACAGAGACAAAGCTGGTACTAGCAGAACAGAGATTGACAATCACATCTGACTAGCATTTAAAATGCCTGAACTCTTTTTTCCCTTCCTGGTGGCATCACAGTAAGAATCAAATGAGGCAAACATACAAATGCATGCTGGAAATGGGGACATTGCTCCTTCCAGGGGTTTCAGAATCACCCACTTTTCCCATGCCCTCCCCCAATAGGACAGAGATCATAATTGTAAAGCTTTGTGGAAAAAAATAAATGAGAGATTGGTAAAATATCCTGTTACAATTTTCTTTTTGAAAATGTCTCAGACAGGCACAGTGGTTCACACTTGTAATCCCAGCATTTTGGGAGGCTGAGGCAGGAGGATCATTTGAGGTCAGGAGTTTGAGACCAGGCTGGGCAACTTAACAAGACTCCATCTCCACTTCTTTTTTTTTTTTTTGGTCTCAAAACTTCTGTTGTAGGGAAATTCTTATCTATGAGAGGCCACTTGAAATAAATGGGTTACTGGCCAGGGCTTGGAAATATTTGTGGTATGAGAAGGTCAGTTGTTTTTTGGCATCTTCAGATAACATTATTATTGCTATTTATAAGCAATTAGTAAATTACTGAAAAATCCATAAATTTAAAATTATTTATTTGGGAAGACTCTATTTATAAAAAATTGTGCCTCAATTATGCATTTTGCTTACCATTACATCTATTTCAGTTCTAAAGGAATATATGGAGGGAGAGGGAGTCTTTTCAAAAGATTGTGAAGGGGTGGCTTATTCTCTTTGCCCTCAGTTTAATAGAAGCAAGAGGTAGTTTGTAGTAGTGGGCAGTCAGAGGTGGGTTCATTGCATCGGTACTTCTAGTCCTAGCTTTTCACTATTCCTTGGCAAGGTTCTTAACCTCTCTGGGTTCCCCTCTTCTTACCTTTCTCCTATTCTCCCCCAAGTGTGGGAGTCACACTTCAACACTATACACCTGGGAGTGTTGTGTTGTTAAAAAGTATTGTTAAATACTTTTTAAACGTGTTAAATTCTTGTTAAATACTTTAAGACGTGTATTTATTTATTTGAATTAGTAATACATACACATGGTTCAATATGTAAAAGATATAAAGGGAGATTTGGTGCCTTCTCCCTCCTGCCTGCCTCTCTCTGGGTGTCCCTGTTCCAGTTCTCAGTTTTCTTTTGCAAACTTAGAAATCTCAAGAGTCTGTGAAGGGCAAATGAAAAGCAAGATGACTAGACTAAATCTGAATGAAATGAAAGGGATTTATTCTAAGGTGATACTGCTCACTGCTTAGATAAGCACCTTGAGCAGTGAGCAGTATCGCCTTAGAATAAATCCCTTTCATTTAGATTTAGTCTAGTCATGCCCTCTTCATGGGATCCCTCAAGTTTTCTGAGACTTCAAACAGCAACACTCAACTAAACTATGAAATAGTCACAGCACCTTTCCAAGAAATCTTGACTTTGAACTTGCTAATGTGCAAAGGAAATGGTCCATTTCTCTAGAACTGGGTTAATAAGATTTTACTTTGTCTCATTTATAATTTTCTTCTGAAAATTTGTTTTTTCTGCTATCAGGTAGGAGAGAAGGCAATAAGGGAAAGATTTGTTTTTGCACTGCTTTGAGATTTTTATACCTTAGGCCAGGAGCACACAAGAAATAAAATATTAACAATATGTCCTTAATTTTCCTTTCTGACAAAGATCACTTGCCTCTCCATTTATATATAAAGAAGGGGTGTGTTAAGCAAATGAAGGCAGACAAGATGTGCCCAGCACCTGGCATACAATAGGGGTACAGGCCATTGCTTAATAAAACGTATAATTTATTAAAACATGCTTGGAGCACTGCTGTGCTAACCAAATATTCCCTGAAAATGTTAAATTTACAATGTAAAATAAGAATAATTTTAAAAACTATTTCTAGAAAAATAGCTTAAGGGCTTCCCCCCCCATAGCAATTTAAGATTAACCTAAAACGTGACAGTTATTATTAACCGCACCACCCCCATCTCCTTGTGTGTGTCTGACATTGGAGGCTTATTGTGCACGAAGTTGTGATCAAAATCCAACTCAATTCATTTTGAAAAGTAACGACTACAACATCCATCCACTCCAATGAGCAAAGGGTGTAGGCTTTGCGTATACACAGCCCACCACACACTATGGGTCATGGCATACAGTCTAGCTTTGGAGGTCGCTGCGTTTGTTCATGTGTCTATGAGCTAGGTTTTAAGTGTTTTTCCCCGTTCTATTAATATAATTAATTAGTTAATTAACCCCACTCATTCATTTACTCAGTCCACAGCCTTTTTGTTAAGAGCCTGCTGAGGACATAAAGATGGAGATCCAGTGTCTACCCTCATGAAACATACAATCCAAGCGAAGAAGGCTTACTTTGCGATAGTCGTCAAGTTGTGTTTTTATGGCGCTTTACTGCTCCCGCCAGCACCCAGTACCTGGGTATGACCTCAGGCGGTGGCAGAGCCCGCGTGCGAGGTCCGGCTCTCCTTGGCTTGCCCTGGCAGGGCGGGGTCAGGAGAGCAGCCGCCGGCACTGCCCCCGCGCGCTCCCTCCAGCGCTGCCTTTAATTTCGCAGCTTCCACCACCGGAAATTAGTCGAAGGCTGAGTGGACCCAGCTAAGAGCCGGCGAGCTCCACGCGGGGAGGGTGCGCCCACCGGTCCCGCCGGGCGCCCGCGGGACGCGCCGCCAGGGCCCTCTCCGCCGGGGGCTCGGCGCACGCCCACCTCTTCCAAATTTAACCATTACCTAAATCCGAAGGGAAATGAGCAAACCTCTCGGATTGGGTGTCAAGGTATTTTCAGCCTCGTTGGGCGTATTTATCCCGAAGTGTTTCCACAACAAGCTATTTCGGGGCCGCGGGGCAGGTTTCGCTCTGCGGACGCGGTGGCCACTCGCCGGGCTCCAGGCCGGCGGCACCGCGGGCCGGTGATTCACGGTCCTGGGCTGGGGGTGGTGCAGCCCTAGCAGGCGGCGGGGTGGGGGGGGCATGGCGGGTGACGGATACCAGGGGGGCAGGGAGGGTCCTCGGAGCTGTGCGCCCCCACCCCTCTGTCGGCAGTCAATCTCTGTCCTGAATCTGTGGCTTCTCTCGCTGCGGAAGTCTCCCTGGAGCCAAGAATAGTTATTTTCTTTCGAGTCATTTCTAGTGCCTGAGTGTCCGGACCTCCAATTTCCCCCATCCCCAGCCGACCCACAGGGAGAGAACTGGGAGGACGACTAAGGGACGCGCGGGACGGGCTGGAAAGGCCAGGCCCCCCCGCACCCGCCTGGCCACTTGCGCAAAGTGGCGCGCTGGGCCGCCCGACGGGGGTTGGGGGCAGGTCTGGGAGGGCTGTGTGAACGACTCAATAACGCTCAGGAAGTGAAGCCTGTGGTTTTGGGGGCTGAGCTCGGAAGGAGACTTTTTTTTTTTAAGGTCAGAGAGACAGAGCGGTCTCTTCCAAAAGCAAGATTTTGTTTGAAAACTCTCCTAGCGCGGTGCCCGCGCCCTGACCCCGCAGGTAGGTCCGCCAAGGCTGTTCTGCGCCTCCAGCCCTGGTGGGGGCGGCCGCGGGGACTCGCAGAGCACCGGCGCTGCGGGGGCGACCAGAGGGCGCGGGCGGGTTCCCACCTGCTGTGGACCGCCGTGAGGGAGCCGGGAGAGCCCTGGCAGCTGGGTTAGGGCGCGACTCGAGCAGCGCGGCTGGAAATCTGGAGCCGGAGGCGCGCAGCAGGCAGCCTGGTGGTTCGGCAGGGGAGCCAAATCCACCCGGGAAGGAAACATCTGGTGGGAGGCCACAGAAGCTGCGCTCGGGAGGCCACCCCCTGAGCGCCCTCGGCTCCCGCCTTCCCGGGCCGGGACGTTGAGGAGAGGCCTGAGCTCTAGGAGGGCTCGCCCCGCCTCCCGCGCCAGCTGCAGTGCGGGGTTACCTTCCCACGCGCTCGGCAGTGGCCCCGGCGCCCCTACCTCCCCCACCTCCGTCCCTCCCGACAGGAATCGGCAAAGCCGGCCGGAGCGCGAGAGAGGCGTGGGCTTACAGCCCTGGTGGGGAGGCGGCCTCCACGTCCCCCTGGTCTCTTGCGGCTCTAGCCCAGACCCAGCTCCGGCTCTGACAGCTCCCCCGCCCCCATCGGTCCCGCTCACAGCCAACGCGTGTCTCAGCCGCAGCGGGACCCTCGGGACAATGCCACTCTGTTTTTCTTTTCTTCTGAGTTTCGCGGCTGTTTAAAGAATTGGGTTTGGGTTTTGTGGCGTCTAATTGTATGGCCCAGAAGTGCAGGAAGCAGCAAAGCTCTAGCCCTGGGAGACAACCCTGACGGAGGTAGATGGCACCCTAGCCCCTAGGGGCATTCTGGCGCTTAGGCCCCGCGACACGTCCCAGGAGTCTTTTCTCCCACGTCTGTTCCAATTCCTCCGGAGAAGGGGACATAATGGGGCTAGGGATCTGAAGCAGGAGGCCTGCACCCTACAGGGACCAAGGCCGCTAAACTCGTTTTGAGTCGAGAGCTCCAAAAGACAGACGTAGACTCTGTGGCCTGCATCTTGCCTAGGAAGCCGAGCAGCTCCTAGTACAGCAGTTGAAACAGCACGAAGCCGGAGGACTGAGGGTCCTGCCCCAGCCCAGAGTTCCCAGCACCCTCGTTTCTGAACCAACTGAAGCCACCGAGAACTGCTGTACTGCAGCTCACGTGTGAGCGGGGTTCCCATCGCCTTCACCCCGGGAGGAAGGCAGATTCGTTTACCCCAGACCACCTTGACTGTGGGGTCCCGCCCCGCGGAGCCAGCTGGAGCCGAGGCTGGCGCAGCCCCGCCCTCCCGCCGGGCTCAGATTTCGACCTGGGATTAGGTGAACTGATTGGGGGTTAATGAGAGCGGCACCCTGGGCAGCTAGTTCCCTCCCAGGCTCGGGCCGACCCTCGTGCTCTGGCGTCGTGTCTTTCTTGTCTGCCAAATTATCAAGTGCACCACCGATTCGGGACACCTAGCATTTCCCAGTCAATGTTCGCGGATCGGGCTTCACTTCCCTAGGACGAGATTTTTTGGTGAGAAGAACGGAAAGTGCTTTTTCCCGGGACCTGATTCCCGAGGTTAGATCTCCATAGTCTGGGATGGCTCGCCGCAACCTCAGCTGGTACCTGCAGCACCCGGGAGTCCGGGGCCAAAGTTTCTCCTACGTGGGGCACAAGTGAGGGGCAACTGGGATCATCCGGATGCGAGTTTCTCCTGAGGTGGGGATTGGTCGTCTGTTACTCCCCTTACTTTCCTGTCCCTTTGCTGGCCTCTGCTGCCCCCAGTCCCTTTGCTGCTGTCCCAACACCGCCACCCCTCAGTTTTGTGTTCCGTCCCTGCCCCTCCCCCCCCCCCCCCCCGCCGCGTTTCACTCCAGTTTGTAGCTGGCTCTTGGAGGTCTTGGCTCCTTGCCCCTTCCGGGTCCTCGACCACTGGGCATCCCCGATCCCTAAACCGATTTCTCGTTTTCCCGCCCTCCCTCGCCAGCCAGAAAGCACAGCCAGGCAGGCAACGAGTAGCTGAGTTGGGGTAACCCATCCGATGGGAACTACGGCTCTCCAGAGAGTTTGATTGCCGGAGCGAGCTTGGCTAGGAAAGGGGAGGAGCTGGGGGGCGTGAGTAGGGAGGAGGAAAGGGGCCCGAGTCAGGGCCCCGGGACAGGTTTTACCGCTGAGCTCTGTCAGCGGCAGCGGCGGCAACGACGGCGGGTTCGCGCCACCTGTCCGAGTGCCACCTGGTAAGCGTGGCGCAGTAGGGCCAAGCCCCTCCTCCCATGGGCCCTCTGCGCTCCTCCCTGGCCGGTGCTCTCCCTCTGCCTGGGTGCCCAGTCCCAGCACCTGAGAGTACTGACCTGCGTTTCCACCTGGTTTTCTTCCCCTCTCAGGTCTCCGCCGGGCTGTGGCTGAGCAAGCCTTCGGAGTGACCGTGGGTGACAGCGGCTCCAGGGACCCTTGGGGCGGAGTGGGGAAAGCCCCAGACCACCATGCCGCGCTCATTCCTCGTCAAGAGCAAGAAGGCGCACAGCTACCACCAGCCGCGCTCCCCAGGACCAGACTATTCCCTCCATTTAGAAAATGTACCAGCACCCAGCCAAGCAGGTGCGAGGCAAGCGGGGCCCAGCAGGGCTGCTCCCGGGGACTCTGACTGCACATTGACACACGATTACCCGGGAGCTGGGAGGGGCTGCCCTAACGTCCCCTAGGCTGCCGTTTTTGTTTCCTGCTGTCCTGGTTCCTCAGGGTTTGTCTCCTAGGTGCCACGGCCTCTCTGCACCTGTCCTCAGATCCGAGAGGGTTCCTGGCCAGTGTCTGGGTGGAGAGGGGAAGACGCTTGGGTGCCCTGGTCAGGGGAAGTTGGGGGAGCCTTCAGAACCCCCAGGCTCAACCAGTCGCAGCCCGAGCCCCTCACCTGCCTCCTCTCTGCAGACAGCACTTCAAATGCAGGTGGGGCGAAGGCGGAGCCCGGGGACCGTTTGTCCCCTGAATCGCAGCTGACCGAAGCCCCAGACAGAGCCTCCGCATCCCCAGACAGCTGCGAGGGCAGCGTCTGTGAACGGAGCTCGGAGTTTGAGGACTTCTGGAGGCCCCCGTCACCCTCCGCGTCTCCAGGTAGGAACCCACTGGGAACCGCTGGGGCGGGAGCTGCAGGGACCAGGCAGTGTTTGGGTGGGTGGGTGGGTGTGTGTGTGTGGGGGGGGTGTTGGGGTAGGGGGGATAGGCGCGATCTTGGGTGTAGACATTCTAATGGGGAGTTGGAGAGTTTCCGGGAGGAGCGAGCTGATTCGTAGGGGAAGGAGGCCAGAAAGAGGCATCCGGCTTCTTTGGGACTTAGACAGCTTGCCCGCTGGGGCCGCTGCCTTCGTCCTAGGAGGCGGGACCCTGGCTGCTTGTCGTTTGCGTGGAGCTGGCCGACGACGGAAAACGAACCAGTTTTTTCAACTGGCAGCAACGCTGATGTTTCGTTTTCTGACCAGACTTGATTTTTCATAAAGTGCTAGGATCCCACAATCCAGACCCCCGAACCTCAAACAAACGGAGACCAGGGCAGTAAAGGCCAGGTAGAGGAGCTAGGTGCGGGGCAGGTGGGAGGGGGCGCGACGAAAATCTCAGCCCGCGGCTTGGTCTTCACGGGCGCAGATTGGGGCCCTGTTTCATTTTTCGTTTTGCCAGGTTGACCCACCCTCACGGACCTGCCCTCTAGGTTTCATTTCCAGCGAGCAATACAGCTTCAGGCAAACGAAGTGACTGCACGTTGGGTGGGGGCGTCTTGGTCCCGACCTGGGGAAGGAATGAGCTAACCAGCCAGATTTTGACAAGGGCCGGTTATATCCAGAATATGCTTGCTAGTTTTAAAAGATACCACCACCCGTCCCACAATCAGTGAGTTGACTTGGCTAAACCCATAGCTCCAGCGAATGTGTCTGGGAGCCGGCAGTGGGAGGATTCTTCCTGCCAGGGCGTCAAGTGGCCGGGCAAGGACTAGGTCCCAAACCCCTTGGAACGAAACTCTGGGTACAGCCTTTCACTGACGTGGCCAGCCTGAACTGGAGAGTGTGTGTGTGTGTGTGTGCACGCGCGCGCGCGCACACACACATTTGTAAATGTCGTATGCACTCACGTGCATTGGGTCACTAGTTTTAGCAAAATTCATGTGAGTGGGAGTGTAGCAGGACGAGAATTCAGGGAGCTGTCTCTTTGCAGGTGGTGGCAAAACATTATGAGATTACAGTTACTCTCTGAGAAATTCGGGTTCCCTGCCTCCATCAAACTATAACAGGAATTGGAAGTATTTGGCGGACAGTTTAAGCCCAAAAGTCCCTTTCCTGCTGCCCCTTTGCTGTGTACACTGGGCATTTAACTTTGTGAAACCTTAATACCTTCCGGTTTATTCAGATACCAACCTTTCGGGTAGTTCGAGGCCGCATTTATGGCCCCTCTCCCTTTTTCCTCGTGGATTCCAGGAATAAAAAGAATTGAGTGGGAACATGTAGGGGCTGGGAGAATGCCTGCGCTGGTGGCTGGACCCTTCGCCCACGAGTGCTGTGCGAGGCCGAATGGGGCATTTATTGATGTGACCTTCCCCATAGGATCTCCAGGTGCGCAGGTTCAGCCACGAAAGATCCTCAGAACACCAAGCGCCTCAGCTGCCCTCGCACAGAATTTACTACCTCCTCTCCCGAGGTCTTTTCAATGATCTATTTGCTGCTCTGCCTCCTATAGTGGCCTGCAAGGCCCCAGGGTCTGGGCCGCGTTTTACCCTGCGGTGGGCCTGGCACCTGGAGCACGCAGTGTTCTACCAGCCGTGGGTGCCGCGCAGTCCGCGAACAGGCCACACCCACAGCTGCAGAGCTGCAGCCCGGCGGCCTCCGCTCTGCCCTCTGAAGCCTGACTGGATGCTCCCTTGTGCCTCCACAGCCTCAGAGAAGTCGATGTGCCCGTCGATGGACGAAGCCCAGCCCTTCCCCCTGCCTTTCAAACCATATTCATGGAGTGGCCTGGCGGGTTCTGACCTGCGGCACCTGGTGCAGAGCTACCGACCTTGCGGGGCCCTGGAACGCGGCGCCGGCCTTGGCCTCTTCTGTGAATCAGCACCGGAGCCGGGCCACCCAGCCACACTGTACGGCCCAAAGCGGGCGGCGGGCGGAGTGGGGGCCGGGACTCCAGGGAGCTGCAGCGCAGGGGCAGGTGCCGCCGCTGGCCCTGGCCTAGGGCTCTACAGCGACTTCGGGTCTGCGGCGGCCGGGTTGTATGAGCGGCCCACCGTAGCGGCGGGCTTGCTGTACCCTGAGCGTGGCCATGGGCTGCACGCGGACAAAGGCGCTGGCGTCAAGGTGGAGTCCGAGCTGCTATGTACCCGGCTGCTGCTGGGCGGTGGCTCCTACAAGTGCATCAAGTGCAGCAAGGTGAGGCATCCGAGCTCCCCGCTTCGCCTGCCCTGCGCCTGCTTCCCCCTACCAGTGCCTAGCCGGCGCAGCACCAGTGCCCCGCGGCCCCTCTCAGCGGCCTTCTCCCCGGCCCCACCCGCCTTAGGTGTTCTCCACGCCTCATGGGCTCGAGGTGCACGTGCGCAGGTCCCACAGCGGTACGAGACCCTTTGCCTGCGAGATGTGCGGCAAGACCTTTGGGCACGCGGTGAGCCTGGAGCAGCACAAAGCCGTGCACTCGCAGGTAAGCCCCGGGCGCACCGCTGCGAGCGGCCCTGCTCAGGTTTTTTGCACTCGGGGATTTTCTGCATCTCCTAGGTGCAGCATCAGCCGCTCTCGCCTGGAAGTTTTCTCCCTGACTGTCCCCAGTTTCCTCCCCCAACCCTTCCGCTGCGTCTCCTTGCCCTGGGAAATATACCTTTCCCTACACACATGTGGCCGGCTTAGGTCTTGAGGCAGCCCTAGATTTTGGTGTCATATCACTGTGAGCCTCGAGAGTGCAATCCTTATTGGGCTTGAAGAAGGTTTGTATGCACTGATTTGTGCTGCTCATATGTCAGACTAATTAGCTCTATCTCTTTGCACCTTTTTTTGTTTTTTTTTTTTTTTGAGACGGACTCTTGCTGTGTCGCCCAGGCTGGAAAGTGCACACAATCTTAGCTCACTGCAACTTTCGCCTTCCAGGTTCAAGCGATTCTCCCGCTTCAGCCTCCTGAGTAGCTAGAATTACAGGCGGTGGTACCGCGCCCGGCCAATTTTGTGTTTTTAGTAGAGCTGGGGTTTCTCCATGTTGGTCAAGCTGGTCTCACACTCCTAACCTCGTGATCTGTCTGCCTCGGCCTTCCAAATTGCTGGGATTACAGGCGTGAGCCATCCTGTACCCAGCCTGCCTATTCTTTTCACCAGATGGTTGTTACTTAATTTGCATTGACCCCTCCCGACTGAAAAGGTGGGATCTCAGCTCATTTAGAGCATACAGTAGCATATTTACCTTGCTATTCTCTCTCTTCCCCTCCCCTCGTCTCTTTTCTTTTTGAGACAGAGTGTAGCTCTGTTACTCAGGCTGGAGTGCAGTGGCACAATCTCTGCTCACTGCAACCTCCCCCTGCCAGGTTAAAGTGATTCTTGTGCCTTGGCCTCCCAAGTAGCTGGGATTGCAGGCACACGCCACAGCTATTTTTTTTTTTTTTTTTTTTTTTTTTTTTTTTTTTCTTTTTTTTTTTTTTTTTTTTTTTTTTTTTTTTGAGACAGAGTCTCACTCTGTCACTCAAGCTGGAGTGCAGTGGCACCATCTCAGCTCACTGCAAGCTTCACCTCCTGGGTTCAAGTGATTCTCCTGCCTCAGCCTCCCGGGTACCTGGAATTACAGGCATCCGCCACCACACCCAGCTAATTTTGTATTTTTAGTAGAGATGGAGTTTCACTATGTTGGCCATGCTGGTCTCAAACTCCTGGCCTCAAGTTATCTGCCCATCTCACCTCCCAAAGTGCTGAGATTACAGGCCTGAGCCACCACACCCCGCCCCTGCTATTCTTTCATGAATAAATATTTGTTGCCTAACTTCCAGGTGCCAAGTATTTAAGAATCCTATAGCACATCAGGTCGTTGACAGCATACTCACATGAAGATTGTAGTTTAGCTGAGAGATGGAGAGTAGATGAGCAAATAAATATAACAATAGCTATGACAGGAGAATGCTATGACAGGAGAAAGCTGAAAAGAATATCAGCCCATCTCCCCCAGAACCCACACTGGCTGGGGGAGGAGGCATCTGAAGTGACTGAGGTCTAAGCCTCCTGTTGAAGAGGGTGGAGAAGTGTGTGTTAATGGTGTCAAAAAAAAAGCAGGGTGTGGATATGTTTTTACCATGGGGTGTGGAAGGTTGTGGGCAAAGAATGTTTTGGTAGAAAAAGTGTTCAAGGGTCGGGCGCAGTGGCTCATGCCTGTAATCCCAGTACTTTGGGAGGCTGGGATAGGTGAACTACTTGAGACCAGGAGTTCGAGACCAGCCTGGCCAACATGGTGAAACTCCATCTCTGCTAAAAATACAAAAATTAGTAGGGTGTGGCGGTGGCGCCTGTAATCCTAGCTACTTGGGAGGCTGAGACACAAGAATTGCCTGAACTTGGGAGACGAAGGTTGCAGTGAGCTGAGATCATGCCATTGTACTCCAGCCTGGGTGACAGAGGAGACTCTGTCTCAAAAAAAAAGAAAAAGAAAAAAGAAAGAAAAAGTGTTGAAGGGATTTTAGGGTCAGCTCAGGGGCAAGGAGAGCAGCAGTCTAGGTGACTGCAGGAGTACCACATCTCTCTCTCTCTGCAGGAACGGAGCTTTGACTGTAAGATCTGTGGCAAAAGCTTCAAGAGGTCATCCACACTGTCCACACATCTGCTCATCCACTCAGACACCCGGCCCTACCCCTGTCAGTACTGTGGCAAGAGGTTCCACCAGAAGTCAGACATGAAGAAACACACCTTCATCCACACTGGTGAGCTGAAGGCCCTTGGCTTGTAGAAAATACCCTGAGGCCAACATAACTCACCTTCTCTGATTTCTGGCCCCAGTGAGTGGTGGATGGGACCTTTCTGATGGAATTAATCACTGCTCTGTGTTAAAGAAAACAAAGGGGTGGGCTCTTAGGTTCATTTATAGTCATAAATCTCCCCAGAGCCACCTTGATTTGGGGTTGTGTCTGAAAGACTACTCAGCAGATCAGCTCAGTTTCTCTCTTCTTGGAAAGAACATTTTCCTCTAGGTTGGCAGCTGCTTCCACTGCTGCCTGCTCTGGGTGAAATATGAAGCTCCAGGGTCCTCTTAGAGAGTTGCTCTAAAGAGCAAAGAGAGCTGCTCTAAAGCTTACCTAGAGATTGAGGACTTTCTTTAACCACCTGGCCTTTTGTGGGAGGGATTCATGTGGCCTCTTTGGCTGCATTTTTAGGAGTCTGAGAGCTTATTCTGATTGAGGAGGAACAAATAATGGCAAATGTGATTAAACTCTCTGCTAAGCATTTCTAAAATGCATTATTTCATTTTATGATCACAACAACTCTTGGAGGTAGAGACTACTCCTTCTCCCCATTTTAGAGATGAAAAAAACGAGGACAGATAATCTACCCAGGGTCACACTGCTAGCAAATGACAGGGTCAGAGCTCAAATTCAGGTCTGACCTCTCAAATGTCCACTCTTGACTACTGTTTATTGTATTCTATGTTTAGAGTCATGAGGGTTGGTAGACACAGAAGCTTCTGTTCACTTATTGCTCTTTTCAAAATATCTGCAAGTTCATGCCATAATAATAATTCTTTACCTATTATAATGCTTTATAATTTACAAAGTACTCTCAAATCTATCATTTCATTTGATTCTTATTGCTACTCAATAAAGTAGAATGAGCTGCTCTTACCATCCTGAAACTCGAAGAGTGAATGATTTATCAAAAGTCAGACTGAGTGAATAATGGAGCCATGTAATGCTCTGGCTTCTAATTCTGGACTCTTTGCCAAACACTTTATGTGTGGGTGGGAGCTTCAATGCCAAGAACACTCTAATAGTCAAAAGACATTTACATGAGACCCAGAATTTCTGAAAATTGTATTGCAGAATATGAATACTGATTTAGAACAAATCACAGTGTATTCTAAACACCCACCCTTGATGTTTATAAATATGCTTGGGTAATGTATATATTTCCATTGAAAACCCAGAAAAGCAGTCTACTTTAATCATTCCTTCTTACCTGAAATTTCCATGTAATTCACTCCTTATAAGTAAGGCATTCAGGACACTTATCAAAATGCAACTAGGATCTTGACTGAATAAAACATTAAGCCCTTATCAAACATTTACATTATACCTGGAATTTGTTTCTCAGATTTGTTTGACCCTAAAGGGATAGAATACGTTTTAATGGGTTGTTTCTTATCGAGGAAACCCAAAGCATGAAAACAGAAAATAGTGTATCAAGGGGTACAGAGGGTTCCTCAAAAACAAACTTCATCTATTTTATACTTTTTCCAAGGCTGAGCCCTGACTAAAATGCCATGCTGGGGCTATTTGGAAATTCATGCCATTTAACCAACAACACATGAGATGGGGAAAAAAACAAAACCTTTCTGTGTTCTCTGATTTATTAATTTGTGGTGAAGAATTGCTAGTATATAAAGAATCATGTGACTAACCTCATAAAATGAAAGAAAAATCAAAACAGAAAAATATCAGCTACCTTAAGAAATACTTTGTTGCCCAAATGTGGATTTTTAAAATAAGATATTGAAAAACATATCCTGCACATGTACCCTGGAACTTAAAAAGAAAGAAAAATGTCCATGTTAAGATGTTTTTCAGATATACTCTGCTGTCCTTCAAGAACAAGAAAGAAGACAGCCTCACTGGTCCATACAAACTAACACCCACTTGGAAATTCAGATTTGAAAACTTCCTCTGAATTAGAACGTAGTCACACGGTTTTAGGACAGCTTCCCCCTCCCCTTCCTGTTGAACATCTGCTCTGGGTGTTCACAGCTTATAAAGTCAGGGGAGTCCTCCCTGGGGTAGATTCAGCTGGGGAGGGCACGTGGCCTTTGCTCTGTTTCCGTTTAGCAGGAAACGGTTTGAGGCCTTTGGCTGGGAACCCCCACTCAGAAAGTCTCCCTTTCACCTGGTGCACCCATGGTGCTTCCAGGGACTCGCATTGCAGGCTGGGCGTCAGTTCATGTTGCAACACGTCACCCTCCAAGTTGCTTGAAGGCCTTAGACTGTGGTGCAGCCAGCTGCTGCTAAGAGCATGTGGGTCACAGTGGGTCCCCTCTAGCTTTATCATAGGCTCATACTTTCTCCCCTCCCCTTCCCATCCCCACAGGTGAGAAGCCCCACAAGTGCCAGGTGTGCGGCAAGGCATTCAGCCAGAGCTCCAACCTCATCACCCACAGCCGCAAACACACGGGCTTCAAGCCCTTTGGCTGCGACCTTTGTGGGAAGGGTTTCCAGAGGAAGGTGGACCTCCGGAGGCACCGGGAGACGCAGCACGGGCTCAAATGAGCACACTGGCTGGCTGCAAGCAGCAGCTACACAACACTACAGAGGGCAGCCTCCCTGCTTGCCATCACTCCCTTCTGACTTTGCAGGCCCCAGGTCCAGTCTGCAGATCCCACCAGGTGTTCCTCCTTTGCCTTACCTCCTGGAGCTGCCAGAGGTGATGAGGTACCTTTTCATGTGCAACCCAGAGTAAGAATCAAGTGACTCTCTAGGCTTTGGACACAAATAGGCTCCTCTACACCTGAAGACAAAGGCATAGTCAAATGGGGACCAGAAGAAATCTTAGACCTCACAGTCCTTCCCATTTCCAGCCCTAATCTACAGACAGGAATGTCCTTTAGGTTTCTTCCCTTGCCTTCTTGACCTACTCCAGTTATTTGTGTGGAAGAGGAGGACTCATCATTTACAAGGTGGACACATGCTAATATTTTTATCTAGAAAGAAGAATGAGTGTTAAATTTTATTTTTTTTTCTTCTGGGGAGTCTGTTGACCCCCTTCTTTTGGGTGCTGCCTATAAATCTTGGAGGAATCATTTCTCTTCCTCAAAGACTGATTCAGAAACTGATTTTGGGAAGTTTAATACTTTTGAAGTCATGAGATGCACCATCAAGGCTACCCCAAGAAGGAGCAGAAGATAAGTTGGTGATGAGAGGGGATTAGAGGTCCTCCTTTCAGGAGGCCTGTGAAGGCTTCATCAGTCAAGGTAAAAGCACAAGCAATGCCTGTGGCCAAGATGTTGTTCATTGGCTCAGCACATGTTCATGGATCACCAGCTATCAAGGTACCAGGCACCATGCTAGGTACTGGGGAAGAGAGACTGAAGTCACAACTCCTGACTCTGCTCCTCAAAAGCTAACAGTTGCACCTCCAAGTGGCTTGGTCTGTTCTTACCCTTGGAGAGAATTCTGAGAATACAACACAGAATTGTAAATCTTCCCTTTTGACCCTTTTGGATTTTATCAGGTGTAAACAAAAAGCAGCTGAACAGTTACTTCAAAGATATGTGTGTATATTCAGTTTTTTATTGTTAAGCTGATATTTTAAAGATGTCTGAGCTAGCAGGCATGTGGAAGTGAAGGCTCTGTCTTCAACTCTGACCCTCCATGTGTATCATAGAGAGGGTAAAAAGTGGTATTTTCAGTTTGATGAGGTTGGTAAATGTTTTTAGATCTTCTGGTATGCATTATGTTTGTTAATACATATTTATTAGAATGATGTTTTAAGTTAATAAACTATTAAGACTATTATAGATTGCCTTTCCTTTAGGAAAGGAATTTGGGGAAGACCTTTGTTTTAGTCTGGGGTGGAGGGAAGCTGGCACTGAAGGAAACTGCAGTAGACTGTAAAAGAGAAGCAGATGAGCTAATATCCAGAAGTGGGTAAAATCCAATTGCTTTGGTTTTCATATACTTTCTCCTTTGCTTCTACACCTCAGAGATACTTCTTTAATAAGACAAAAACTAGGAGGTGTACAAAACTAAGCTCCTACCTTGTAGAGCCCCTGATGGTTCCACAGGCACATAAGCAAGCTCTTTCCTCTAAAAATGTCAACATAATTTTTTATGGGCCTGAAGACTCCCAGATGAATATAGAAATCACAAGTCTTAGGTCTAGAGGTTTTAGTTTTAGTCACAGCTCTGTCACCAGCACATCATGTGACTTGGGTAAATCTTTTGACTTCCCTGATACTGGTTTCTTTGACCAAGTAATGTGGAGACAGCTCTGTCATTCCAGTCCAACCCTGACTGCTTTGATTCTGTGAAAACTGGAAAGGAGAAAAAGTATGAGATTGGTTAGCTGCCTCCCCTAATGCAAGTAACAAATCTAAAGATACATGAGGATCTGGGTTATTTCTGGTCTGTCCCACCTGTGGGAGCTTTTTATATCAGTCAGTCCTTTAACAGAATGAAACCAGAATAAGGTCCTGCCCTAAATCCCTATTACTAGTGCGTTAACACCCAGCCAGATACTCAGGGTATGCATGGCTCATACTGAGTACCGAAAGATTGCCCATTTCCAACTCAAATTGATTTCACCTATATGATTGAGCACCAAATATGTGCTGGGCACTCTTCTAGGGGGTGGAGATACAGCAGTGAAGACAATGTCATATGAAGATTTATTTACTCATTGTTGAATCTTCAGTTCCCAGAATAGTGCCTGGCACACAGTAGGAGATCAATAAAATATTTACAGAGATGGTAAGTGAATAAACAGAATATAAACTCCTGCTTCATCCTGTGGGCTGGCTCTGCCCTCTAAAGCACAAAGGGAAGTGAGATTGCTTGAAAGCCTGGGAAACAAATAGAATCCACAGGACTTTCTCTCTGGGTTGGTGGGAAAGCGGGGCTTGAATGTTGCTTTTCTCTGGTGTCTCCAAATCACAGTTCTTGGCTGTCCTCACCTGATTTCCAGCACCATGTCTCTCCATGTCAGTTTACTCTCATTCAGAATTTAAATTTGTTTACTCTGTAATGGAGTTTAAGATAGTTTTTCAGAACTGATGGATGATGAACAGTTGCAGCATCCAGGAACCACTTCCTAGTGTCCTGGAAGACAAACCTCCCAGTGAGTAAAGATGACAAAAACATCCTTCCCACAGAAGTCACCCTGCATACTGGTTGGTTATTTTCAATCTGGTTTGAAAAGTAAAGAAGTTGCAATGAGGGGTAAGTAAAACTGATTGAAATCTAGGTGTCTGTACTGCCCTGCTCTTCCCTTATAACAGAACATTTGGTCCATTTTCATTATCCCTGTTTATGCTATAAGTGAGGAATTGTAATTTTGATGTTAACTGTATGCCTTTTTTTTTTTTTTTGGTAAAAAATGTATCTTAATATCCCCAGTTCAGAATCAAAACAAATTACTGTGCCTGTTACTGTGTGAAATTTGAAGATTGCAAATATCTCTCTTAATGTTATTACTTGACTCCATTAAAAATAGATTGTGAATATTCCATGTCACATTATTCATGAGGCAGGCTCTATGCCTTTTGTCTGCTGGAGTAACAGTAGAAAGGGTAACAAGAGACACCAGAGCACACCTTTGTTTCTTTCACTAAATTTTTAATAACACCTCCAGCTAGCCAGTTGGTGAAGCTCAGCTCTTGCATAAAAGTGGAAAAGCACAGCTATCTCTGAGAAGACCAACTCTTTCAGCAGCTAATTTGAGTTTGTGTTCATCTACACCAGACATGATTAAATTACCTATCAAGTGTGCTGAGCTATCAGGATTCAGGCCACATAAAAGGTGAATTTCATCTGATTGATTTGAGACACGAACGGAACAACTGAGTTTTAAAAGCCCCGCCTTAATTAAAGGGATAGCAGAGTATCAGGCCCCGGTGACTTCTTAACTGCAGTTGTGCTTGAAAACTGGGTGGTGATAGTGATTTGACCCCAGTCATTTTATTGTGTGCCTGTTTGTTCAACCTGATCATTTAACAGAAAGAGATGAACTCAGAGGAAGACCTGAATGTATTTCACTAATTTTTACTGTGCATTTCTAGAGCACTGTTTGTTTAAATCCGTGCTGCCATATTATTTCTACAGTAAAAACTTTTTAGGAAGTATATATTTATTTTAACCCCCTTTTTCCATTCATTAAGTCAGATTTTAAAAATTAAAAAGTTTGGGCTGGGCGTGGTGGCTCATGCCTGTAATCCAATCACTTTGGAGGCCAAGGTGGGCAGATCACCTGAGGTCGGGAGTTCAAGACCAGCCTGACCAACATGGTGAAACCCCGTCTTTAAAAAAAATAAATAAATAAAAATAAAAAAGTTTAAGGAAATTGCACTCTAAATCCTTCCATCTTAAAAATTTATGTCATTTTTGTATGCGTTCCTTTCTAGTCTTTAGGCACATGCGTGTATATTTATATTTTATAATTTTTGTCTAGATAACTCTCTTATTATATAGACATACTTAAAACAGATATTTCACAATGAGAATTTGGACAATTTTGTGACCAAATTTTATTGAAATATTAGTGTTTTTTTGGGAATCTTGTCAATCATTGAGAAAAAGTCTTTTCTGAAGTTTAATGTTTTTTTACTTTTTAAATAAGACATTTTAGGTATACTGGAAATTGCAGAGAATAATAAATGTTAGTGTACCCACCATTCTGACATATTTACTTTAGATTTTATTTTTGAAATAACATGTTACAGATATAGTTGAATTTCTTATTGCAATATGTTCCTGCCTAGCCCCATTTCCTTTCTTTTCTCCTCAGAGGCATCCATTATTCCAAAATCAGTATATATAATTGCCATGAATGTTTGTATGCCTTTAATTTATACACAATCCCATAAACAATATATAATTTAGCGTATATTAACTTTATGTAAATGGAGGGTAGTTTATGTATCCTTCTGCACCTTTCTGGTTTTTTTGCTTAACATGTTGTTTTTGAGATGTATTCATGTTGATACGTGCAGTTTAGTTCCTTTATTTTAAATACTGCATATAGAATTCCACTGGGTGAATGCTTGGTAATTTTTCTCTTCTGTTGGGAGAGTTTTGGTCATTTCCAGGTTTTTCTATTACAAATGATTCTGAAGCAAACAACCTTTTACGTATCTCTTGTGAGAGATTCTTTAGGATGTATTCTTAGGAATGAAAATACTGGATATTATCAAACTGCTCTTCAAAATGGTTTCTCCAATTTACAGGTTCCCTAACAATGTAGGAGAATTCCTGTTACTCCAAATCTTATCAACACCTGGTATTGTCAAACTTCAAACATGTCTGCCAATCAGATGGATGTGAAATGTCATTGTAATTTGCATTTCCTGATTCCTAGTGAGGTTGAGTATCTTTTCATAAGTTGATGGGCCTGACAGGTTTCCTTTCCTATGAAATGCCTCTTCAAGTACTTTGTCAATTTTTCTGTTGGTTGCTTGCTTTTTATCAATTTGTATTTAAATGTATTCTCAACACTCACTGTTTTGTGTTACATACTTATCTCAGCCTATGATTTGCCTTTTCACTGTGAAGAGAGGTTTTATTTGCTTGTTTTGTTTTTGTGTGTAATCAAATGTATTAGTCTTTTCCTCAATGGTTTATGCTTCTTACATCTCAGTTAAAAACTCTTTCCCTAACTGGTGGTCATAAGATTCCCTATATTTTCTTCTAAAAGTGTTTAAATTTCTGCTTGTGACATTAGGGTTTTTTGTTTGTTTGTTTGTTTGAGATGGAGTCTCCCTCTGTCGCCCAGGTTGGAGTGCAGTGGCGCCATCTCAGCTCACTGCAACCTTTGCCTCTCGGTTCAAGCAATGCTCCTGCCTCAGCCTCCCAAGTAGCTAGGATTACAGGTGGGCACCACCACACCTGGCTTTGTATTTTTATTAGAGACGGGGTTTCACCATGTGGGCCAGGCTGGCCTCAAACTCCTGAGCTCAGGCAATCCGCCCACCTCAGCCTCACAAATTGCTAGGATTACAGGCATGAGCCACCATGCCCAGCCAACAGTAGCTTTTTAATCCACTTGTATGTGTATAGTATACAATAAGAACCTAATTTAAAAATTTTTCTTCACCTTTAGTAATGGATAACCAATTATCCAAACATTATGTATTGCTATTTTCATCCTTTTCCGTCTGATTGTAATGCCACCTGTCATATGTCAAGTTTCTATTTCTGTATGGTTCTATTTCCAGGCTTGCTGATCGGTTCCACTGGTCATTTTGTCTATCTCTATGCCAAAGTCATAGTGTCTTAAATAATTTAAGTTATAATAAGCTCTTAATAGCTAGTAGGGAAGGCTGCCTTGTGATCTGTTTCATGCTCTTCAGGAATATCCTGGCTACTTTTGGCCCATATGATAAACTGTTGGAATTTTGGTTTGTATTACATTTATTATTTAATTTAGGGAGAAGTGAAATTATTTTGATATTGATTCTTGCCATCCATATATTGATTACTTATTTAGTCTTCTTTTATGTCTTTCAATAATACTTTGTTATTGTCTGCATAATTTAATTACTTTTTAAACTTTTTCTTTTTGTTGTTTTTCTTTTTTTTTTTTATAAAGACGGGGTTTCACCATGTTGGTCAGGCTGGTCTCGAACTCCTGACCACAGGTAATCCGCCCGCCTTGGCCTCCAAAGTGCTTGGATTACAGGCATGAGCCACCACACCCGGCCTAAACTTTCTTAGTTCTTATTTTGAAAATTGAATTTTGTAATTACTCTTGTATGGGAACAAAATTAATTTTTCTATATGTTGATCTTGTATCCTATAACT